ACTTTTTTGAGAAATGCTTTATAAAAGAAGCCGAACTCATCTGCATTAATTATATTGTTGACAATATTAAGTTTTTTCCTCCAAGAAGCGGTCATTTCATTAGTAACATCTTGACTTTCACCTATGAAAAATAAGAAAAGCAACTTTAAAATCAGCATAAATTTTATTAGTTATGATTTTGGAGTTTATTTGCTTATCATGCAGTGCGTGGTAATAAGCCAAATTGTGGTAATAACTTTAAACAAATTAAAACAAAAGAGTAGATTTGATAATTTATTGGTTTATGGGTGATAGAATAGAAATGAGAAAATCATGCTTAATATTATTTTTTAGACAAATGACTAAAAAAATGTAAATATCAATGAAAAAATAAAATGATAAAATACCTGATATTGTTTTAAACGATACATTTTTTTTTTCCATTTATCTAACCATCCATCGGATGCTTGAAAGTTGTCACAACCAAGTTCTTTTGCAAAATGAAAAGCTTTGACTTTGAAAATGGTTCCAGACAGAGGAATGTTTGGTATCGGGTGTTTAAAAGCCACATATAACATCCTTTATCCAAATTCTCATTTAGGGAGACACGCATCCCCACTTTTTTCGCAGAAGTTTTATTTATTTTGACTTCTGAACAGATTGTGTTTTTTTCTTTTGACCATCCAGACAATGTTTGCTTTAGAATGCCATATTTCTTTGATATAGATACAGATGATTCTCCTTTGTCAAGTTTTTTTGTTATTTTGTATTTTTCTGTTATATGTATTGTTCTACTTGATTGCTTTCTTTTAGCAATCTTCAACATTTTTAGTAAATAAAACTTGATCGACGTACAACCAAATCGAAGATATCAGTGAAAATGTTTAAGTTAGTTTAAAAGTTCGTTAAACTACGTTTGAAGCAAAAGTAATTAATTTTCAAAAGTTCTAAGTTTTGAATTTTGATTGATATTTTTGAATTTTTAATGTAATAGTTATTAACAAATAGACTTTAATCGAAGCTTAACTGAATCGAAAGATCTCCGTGAAAATGTTTAGGCATGTTTAATTATATTTGAAGCAAAATTTTATTTTCGAGCGTTTAAAGTTTTAAATTTTTATTGAAGTATTGAAAGTTTTGTTATTATATGCACTTATATGCAATTCAAAATAAAAGTCCTAGTTAAGCGAAGTTTCAAAAAACAGTGCGAGTTAGCAAATGGTCCGACTTAATCAGGGTACAACTTAAGCGGATAGTTTTACAGTAAGTTGATAGAGAATGTTCTAGGGGAATTGAAATTTCGTCTGATTTAGTAAAACTTTACTTATCCAGGGCCTGAGTTAACGGGATTCAACTGTAGTATTTTGTATTTTTTGTTTTGTTTATAGAAATGTTATATTATTAGTTGATTATTATTTTATACAGTATTTTTTTTGACTCTAAATTTTTTATTGTAATTAGTATATGTACGCGTTTTGGTTTGAAAAACCTGAATTTTTTTGTTTAAGCTAGTCTTTGTACGTGTAAACAACTCTAACACGAATATGCGTGTGTAATACACCTTAGGTACACGTAAAAAAAATGGATCAAGAAATCCAAATTTGTTTTTTAAGTAAATTTTTTCGGATGTAAATAACACTAATACGCTCAAGCACGCATTTTAGGTGCGCGAATTTTGGTTTTTCATAACAAATTTGAATTTTTTGTTCTCAAAACTGGTATTGATGTATCTCCTGTTTAAATTTGATGGTTAGTTTTCAGCGTCAACCAAACTCAAGACTTTGAGCTTGATTGAAGTCTAGGGACCGCAATGTTAATTATATCAATTTTGCTGTTGATTTTGTGTTGTTAAATAAAATTTCTTTTTGATTGTCATTCGGTTAACGTTTTCAGGTTTAATCTTAATAGTCGTTGAATGTAAGTTAAGTACTTTATGGTAGAGATGTGTTTTGTGGCTCCGTGTTAAACTTGCTCGATTTAGGCTATATCTTAGGCGATCAGCGATGTGTCCATGTATAAAACTTTCCATTACTAGCACATTACATTGCGTTGCGAAGCAGAAATAGGATTTTGTTTAATTTTCTGAAAAAAAAAATCAATTTTAGTATTTTAAATGTTTTTTAACCAAAACAAGTTAATATTAATTAATAAAAAAATGTTTTCAAATTTCAAATTTGTTTTTTTAAGTTTAGGATTTTCATTGGTAAAAAAAACCCCGGGTTTTCACCAAACCTTTATATTACATAAATTTCTTCAATTTTTTTTTGCATATAATTAAATAAATGATTTTTGGTTTTTAATTTACATTCTGTAAATTAAAAACCAAAAAAAGAAAAAAAAATGTTTAGATCATTGTTTTTGTGCGTCCATAAATATCGATTGATTGAACCATGTTACTACTGAGGTTGCCAGTTTTTTTATTATAAGAAATTGACTTTTTATAAGTGAAATAAAGTTTTGGCTATCTCTGTAGTATTATGGTAAAAAATCAATTCAACTGTAGTGGATCTTAATAAAAGCCGATTAGTTAGCAGGAATTAAAATCGGTTGGTTTAATCGTTCTGAGTCTTTTATGGTTACTTTCAATCACAGCAAAGTTTTGTTTGATAATTTTCCTCCAAACATATTTTCACAAGTAAAAACGTATTTGAATATGCTATATTTTCGCAGTCCATGTTTTTATCACATTATGCTGGTTACACAATAAGTTATAACACTTTTGAAAGTCTTTTAATTTAATAAAATTTGTGGAAAAACAAAAAGGTTGTTTCTTACTAAATTTCAATGATATATTATATAAAGTAGATGTCTAACTTCTACCCGAAAAGTGAAGCCACTTTTGTCTTTTTTTAAATTGGTAGATTAAATTTGTAAAAAAATATTATTTAAATTTTAGCGTAAAATATATTATTATAATTATTAAAAGTATTTTATAAATATTAAAATTATTATAATTATTAAAAATTTTATAATTATTAAGAATTATATTTAACTTATTGGGAAATTTTGATACATTTTTAAATTTTATTCCACGCAACGGCTTCTGCTTTTGCCCTTTTTAAATGGCGGACTATTTTTATAAGCAAAAAAAGCGGCTTCATTTTTTGTCCAATAAAATCCAGTATGATAGTTATCTAGTTTGTACAATATATCATTGCTATATTTAAATATATTTTGGTTTAAAATCACCAAAAAAAAAAAATTAATGATTAAATTTGCAAGTATTTTCCAGTCAGGTACGACGCGATTAGTGAAGAAAAATTCTCGTTAGGCACAGTCAACTACTGCGTTGAATTCGATGACACTGTCCTCGGAGGCTTTTTGCTGCAACTAACTGGTTTGGTCTCTGGAGCTCGACATTGTTGAGGCCGTGGTACATCTTGAAGTACTGAATAAGGTCACCTCTACGCCGTCTTGAGCTTGTTATTTTTTGGAGTGTTAGTTTAATATCTACAATTTTGAGATAAAAATGATTTAAAAAAAAAACTTAAGAAGACGGCATATAAAAACATTTTTTTAACTTATGTTTTCTCCGCGACTTTTTTTACTCATAACTTAGGTTACAATACAAGAAAAACATTATTCTGAGGTACATAACACTATCATTAACTCAATTTTTTCAAATAGTTGAGACAAGATAATTCAAGTCGCGATACGTCGTTATTCAAGCTAAAAACAGTCTTCCCATTTTTGGACAGTTCTGGCCCACTGTGCGGTTCTTTTAAATAAACATATTATGTTTGTAACACTCATCAGCTCTGGGTGTCTAGAGCTGATGAGTGTTACAAACATAATATGTTCATCGATATAATGACAACTATACTATTTAGGATCATTTTAAAAGATTCCTCACTCCAAAAAATGGCAGGGTAAAAACTTTAAAATAAAATGAATAAGTATTTTTAATCTTATGATTTAAAACTTATGAATACTTCTAGTTGGGGACCGGACGATATTTGTTTAAACTTATAAATACTTCTAGTTGGGGACCGGACGATATTTGTTTAAACTTATGAATACTTCTAGTTGGGGACCGGCCGATATTTGTTTAAACTTATGAATACTTCTAGTTGGGGACCGGCCGATATTTGTTTAAACTTATGAATACTTCTAGTTGGGGACCGGCCGATATTTGTTTAAACTTATGAATACTTCTAGTTGGGGACCGGCCGATATTTGTTTAAACTTATGAATACTTCTAGTTGGGGACCGGCCGATATTTGTTTAAACTTATGAATACTTCTAGTTGGGGACCGGCCGATATTTGTTTAAACTTATGAATACTTCTAGTTGGGGACCGGCCGATATTTGTTTAAACTTATGAATACTTCTAGTTGGGGACCGGCCGATATTTGTTTAAACTTATGAATACTTCTAGTTGGGGACCGGCCGATATTTGTTTAAACTTATGAATACTTCTAGTTGGGGACCGGCCGATATTTGTTTAAACTTATGAATACTTCTAGTTGGGGACCGGCCGATATTTGTTTAAACTTATGAATACTTCTAGTTGGGGACCGGCCGATATTTGTTTAAACTTATGAATACTTCTAGTTGGGGACCGGCCGATATTTGTTTAAACTTATGAATACTTCTAGTTGGGGACCGGCCGATATTTGTTTAAACTTATGAATACTTCTAGTTGGGGACCGGCCGATATTTGTTTAAACTTATGAATACTTCTAGTTGGGGACCGGCCGATATTTGTTTAAACTTATGAATACTTCTAGTTGGGGACCGGCCGATATTTGTTTAAACTTATGAATACTTCTAGTTGGGGACCGGCCGATATTTGTTTAAACTTATGAATACTTCTAGTTGGGGACCGGCCGATATTTGTTTAAAATCAAATAGTCATATTTCAGGAGCTTTTTAGAATTAAAAGCTAAAATTATCACGGAATTCTTATTTAATTAAGTTCTTTTAATAAAAAAAAAAAAAATTTTCCCCTCAATTTCCTGGATTATTTGACATGGACTTACTCAACTCTAAATTAGGATTATTCGAGAATTACTATTTGATGAAATATTTAAATGAATTATATCAGAGAACAACAATTACAAATAAAATTGACACGTGCTTGATGCTTAAAATCATAGATAAGTCAATCTTCTTATAATTTATTATTATAAACAAATTAATAAAAATAAGCAAATGAACAAAAAACAAGTTAAACATTATCTACAGCTTTTTTAATATTGATGATGTAGAATAAGGGTATATCGAAATATATTTTAGCATGGCTCATCGAAAATCAGTTAATAAGAACATTTATTTATCAATATATAATTTTTTTACTTTAAAAAAAAATGGTTATAACTTAGTTGAGGACGCCACAACAATTTCGATTTGAATATTTGGAAATATTTTCTTGTAAAAAATAGACTTTTAAGCAAAAGTTTATAAAGTCTGAAAATATAAATGAAGAGCAACTTAAATTAAAAAAAATTTTTATGGTTGAATTTCGTCATCTTGATCAATGATGATATCATTCGGACCTGAAGCAAAACTTCTGATCATGGTTATAGGTACTGAACCTAACGCTCCAAAACGACCCTAAAATAATATGTTTTTATTAAGTCCATTTTTCAACAACGAACAAACGATAGTAAAAATATATTCGAAATTTTGTTATGAAAAAATTAGTCTATAAAAAAATAAAACAAGCTTGTTGAATATTAATCTATTATATCGAATAATATTCCCACAGATAATTCCCGGAAATAATGTTCAACTTATGTTACGGGATTGTTTCATAGTATTAATGCCGTATAAATACAAAAAATAGTATTTTTATGTTAAAATGTTATTAAGTATATTTAAGTGTTTATGACCATCGTGGTCTTAAAAGAAAACAAACAAATATTACAAATATACAAAAGATTTATTTTTGTGTAAATATTTTCGAATTGTAAGTTCATTCAGATAAATGAACTTTAAATTTGAAAATATTTTGATTGTTATAGCTTTATCTGTGACAAGAAGTAATTTATAGTATTTTGTTAATTAAATTGTATAATGAAAATAATTTACAAAGCAAAATAAAAATTAAATAATAATTGCTTAAGTGACATCGTTAATAATATATTATATATTTAATTGATTAAAAATATCGTGTTCGGTTATATATTATTTTTATAATTAAATGGTGATATTTCGTCTTTTATAATATAATTTAATTTGATAATGGCTTATACTATATTAGCCTAAATATCACCATTTAATAATAAAAATAGTATATAACCGAACACGATGTTTTTAATCATATATATATATATATATATATATATATATATATATATATATATATATATATATATATATATATATATATATATATATAAAATATTAGTTTTTTGAATATTTCTTGAATATTCAATTCATTCTTGTAGTACTCCATTCATTTAATATGAAATTTATAAAAAAGTTGTTGTTTGCCGTTTCGTTGCGCCATTTTAAATGTTTTTCTGGAATATTTTTGGCGAGCCTTCAAAATACTAAATTTTTAAATTATTATAAACGTACCCATTTGCGTCAACGTATAAAGATTAAGCGCTTATGTACAGTCTTGATGTCGTTTTCTTATTGTTTACGAAACAAAAGGTTTCAAGCATAGCCCCGAAGAATCTCAATGCGGTTGAACTTCCATCTGTTTTATACTTCCATGGTTAAACATAACGAGAATTATCCGTCATGTTCAATGTACAATTTGTATGTAAAAGCATAACGGTATTTGCCGTCAGGCCCGCCGCGATCCTCTATAACGCCCGGGGTCAAAACTTATCTAGCGCCCTGTCATATTGATCTATTTCTAAAAAGTTTAGGTACTGTCCAAATACTGTCTTTTTATTTTTTTTTGTTAACTAAATTCACTTTTAAAGGCCAAGGGAGTAAATAAAGTCGAGGAGGCTTCTATTTATTTTTAAAATAAATTTGAAATAAAAGTAAAAAAGAAGCACAAGTTGACAAGTTACTGAACTTTATTACATTGCGAGTAATGAGTTTTAAATGTAATAGATATTCTAAATGCTTCATGAGAGTTTGACTCTACGGGTATAATTTAAAGCAAAATTAAATAAAAAAATGACCTCGTTGTAGCACAGATTTTTTACAAGATCGTATTCAATAGATATAACTAAGAAATTGGTAAGCCGGTCTTGACTTATTGTAGATCATGTTGTTCTAGACCAAGCTTACTGAAAAATCTCTCTGGCAATGGAAACAAGAATCGTGTTAAAAATACGTAACAAAATGCCTATTGATTCGAAGATAGACTCTAGACCTTTTTAATAGGTTCCATTTAAAAGCTTCATTGAAGTGAGATATTCTTTTGGACTAAAAAGCTTGGCGTGCTTCAGAATACCCAGATGATGGACCTCTAAATTAGTATGTCTTCATCTACATTGTTCACATAGATTTGCGCCAAAATTTTACATTTCTCCTCCAGGCTAGGTGGTTCAATTTTCTTCACTCGACCTACTATTAGATTCCGAGAACCATAGGAAGGAGAAACCGTTTGTCATTTTTTCTGCAGCTCAAAATCTGTCTCTTATTTGTTGGATTAAAGTATCGAGAGCCGTGTTCTTCAGCCGTTTTTCATAACGCCTTAAGGTAAAAAAAATCAAAATCAAATTTTTTAGAAAATAAGCTTATTTAGGTGCCTGCAAAGGTTATTGAATAATTGTTTTCTTTAAAAATAATTTTTAATTGCGTTTTTCTCGAAATACGTAAAAAGCATCTAGAGGTGTTTTGAAAAACGGGTATACGTTCACATCAAACTACTTTTCATCGTTTTCTTAGAAATGAACTTCATTCCTTGCTTCTTGGTAAAAGGTTTTCCTCTGACCGGAGGTAACCAAATGTGCTTTATTAATTAATTCGGGTCAAGAATATCTAAATTCATAAAATACTTGATATGAACCCTAAAAAGCTTCATCTCTTCATCTAAAGTAATGTTTCCTGATTGAAATGACACGCTGATAATTGCTTGGCGCGCTTCGAACCAGAAAGTTGTCATGATAATAAACTTAAATGAACAAATCCATTTCTCCAAAGATTTTACGTCATTCAATAGATCAGCAGTTAAATCAAGTTCCTGAAGTTTTTGCAAAGAAAAAATAATTTCTCTATGTTGCTTAACAAACGGCTTCAAAGTCTCAATCCGTGCACTCCATCGGTTTTGTGAGTTTTAATGACGAGTCAAACCAGTTCTCTTGGTCAAGATTTGACATTGTATAGGGCTTCCACTAAGAAGATTGTAGAGTAACTGAATCCGGCCAAAATAGGTCTTAATTTTTACAGAAGATTCAAGGGAATGATCAACATCTAGGTTAAGACTATGAGCGCTGCATAGCATGTAGAAAGCTTAAGGATTTCTCAGAAGGATGATCGCTTTTACTCCTTTGTACACACCAGACATGTTAGCACTGTTGTTGTACCCTTGACCTGAACAGTTCTTCAGGTTGATGTCATTATGATCCTAGATGTCATTATGATTTTCGACCTTAAGAAAGCGCTCCTTAACTACCTGTCTTTTATCAATACCATTGTAAACAAAACGGAGAACAAATGCAATTTGCTCAATATAAGTGACGTAAATTACTATACGCGCATCATTAATGATGGCACCGTGGACGATTCTTCCGCACTATTTTATAAATTCATTTTGGGAACTCCAACCCAAAAAATGCACAATAATTTGTTTACCTTCATGTTGACACCAGAAAACCTCTTTCTAATGTAACTAAAGGGTCTTGTTGTGCTTTGCGAGTAGCTCTAGAGTTGCAAGATAATTGCCGTTATCGTCATCATTGATCATTTTTGAAGAGTCTAAAACGACGATTTTAATATATACATGTAATAATACATGTTTACACATATAAACCATGATTTTCTGTTTAAGTATAATAAAATAAATTATGACATAAATATAAATATAATAATTAACATTCAGTAATATACCTCTAAAGCGTGATGCTAAGAAGAGAGTTATATATAAGATGCACTTTAAAATTTCACGCTGCCTGGCTGCCTAATTTCTTATCGATTTTTCTAAACTTGAATCAATCTCGCACTGGTTTCCTTTTTAGCGCTGTTTTCCACTTAATGTAATAGTCTCGATGGATTGTTTTGGTGGCATTTTTTAACTCCATTGATGTCACCATTCCATATTTAATATATATATATATATATATATATATATATATATATATATATATATATATATATATATATATATATATATATATATATATATATATATATATATATATATATATATATATATTTGATTATATATGTTCTTTTTTAACCTATCAGCCCTTAAAAGTTTTATCCCGCAACGGTTTTGGCTAGTGTCAGACTCACGAATATGAATTCATCTAATGCTGTATTGTTGAGTAAACAATTTTTAAATTACGAGTTTAAAGAGTTTTTTATTAAAGCCCTGTGTATCTATTTTATAATTAAAAAAAAAAGTTTTCATTTGTGCACCCCTTCTGATCCTGCGCCTAGGTAAAAAGTACCCAGTGACCCTCCCCACGCAGCGGCCCAGTTTGCCGTTATGTTTTTTTCATAGGAATTATACATTGAACCATGGCCTACTTTATTTATACGGCCGGATATTTTACATTTTGAAGAAAAAAATAGAAGGCCAGTTTTCTGGAAAAGTGTTTTTAAGAAAGCAGCTTTGGAAGTTCAAAAAGATGGTTAACAAATGTTGCGTCGTAAATTGTCGTTCAAATTATCATAATTATGGTGAAGTATCTACAGTGGTATTTTCGTTTCCAAAAAATGAAGAGTTAAAAAAATATTGGATTAAATTTGTAAATAGAAAAGATTGGACACCTACTAATTCTTCCGTTATATGCATTAAACATTTTGAAAAAAAATATTATAAGAAAGGTAATAAGAATCAACGTTTTAGATTAATAAAAAATTTAAAGCCTATTCCAACTATTTTTGACTGCACAAATTTGACTGAAGAAGGTTCATTACAACTTATAAAATCTTCTAATTCATTAAGAAAATCACCAACTAAAAGAATATTTCAGCCAGATCAATATAAACAGTTTTTATTGAATGATTTGATTAATAGCTTTAACGATATTACTGAAAGTTTTGCTCCAGATGGTTTTTCATTCTTGAAGTATATTCATGTAATTTTTTATAAATTGAGTCATAGTACTTTATCTATTCCAGAGGTTACAGAGTGCATTCGTGTAAACAATGAGATGCATGTTAAATTATTTTACAGAGGTTCACCTCTGCCATTACCTCAGTGGTTTTGTCAAGGAAGAGATTGTCGTTTATCTTGTAAAAGTATGCTTCATAATTTTCCTACCTACATTAAATCACAAGCCGAACAATTTTCATCTGTATTGACTGAATTACAGCAAATTAAATATATGAAAAAACCTATTTATTCAGCCAATATTATAAGGTATTCACTGATATTACGATATACTTCTATGCAGTCATGCCAACTTTTGCGTGAAGAATTGCCTTTACCATCATTATCATTACTTAAAAAAATAACTAGTGGAAATATTGATGCT